CGTCATTTTCTCCTGCAAACCTGGCTACGCAGTATCTTCATCTGGTCTTTCCACCTGTACTGGAGAAACCTGGAGACCACCGATTACCTGCAGAAAAATGTGTGCTGCGATAGAAATAACGAACGGGAAATACAATCTATCGAAAGATTACTCCACTATTGAATATTCTTGTCTGCCTGGATACCAGCTCATTGGTCGGCAAAAAATAACGTGTACGCCTAACGTAACGTGGGACAGTGAAGCCCCTATCTGCACCAAAATGTGTACACTTTCTAAACGGAACGAAGTGTTGTCTTTCCGACAAAAAGCAACGTATGAAATCATCCCTTTTGGAACGCAGATTATTAATGGAGCACAAGTGTATTCTGTATGTCGATACAATACATCGATGAGTCATGTTGTAGAATGTATTAATGCAGAACTCAGCCCCTACCCATGTAAAATAGCCAGGCTTATTAGTAGATTCTTAGAAATTTATTATAATGGTACCTGGTGTAAGATTTGCGATACTTCATTTAATGTGTGCAGTATTTTCAGATACAAGAAGACTCGATATAGAAAATGCAGTGCATGTTGCAACTTTGATATAAATGCTTTTACAAATACATCAAATATTGTCCTTAAGAGTCCGAACTATCACTCTCGTCTTCGGTGCCTGGGCTGCTTTCTTTAAGAAGAAAATATGACAATTATTTTTACTGGATTTCATGATTCCGAAGAATTATTCATAGCCTATTGGAGCCGGGAATGATTGAAATGAAACCACTAAATGTCGTCTCTATATCACAAGAAAAATAAGAACGACTCTTTCACAAACTTCCGAATTGCTATAATTCAAAACCTTTAATATAATAGTGTCTCATTAATCTGTGGCTTGTCTTTTTTATCTTATTCGCCACAGTATATCGTTAACCATTTTGATATTATAACTATCTCTGATTCTCTGTCCGTGACACTGTCTGTGTGTGACTTTGTATGCGTTTATCTAATGTATATGTATATGTATATGCCTGTATTTTGTATGTGTGGATTACATGTGCTTTTATCGTTTAGACCAAAGCACACACATACGCACGCAATTTTGACTAAGCTTGAAATGAGTCATTGAAATAATACACTCTTTTTATTCAGTCTGTACAACCCCTACCGTTATCTGAACAATAAAATTATAAAATCGAAGACAAGAAAAGAGTTCATCTTTTTAAAAACCCTAAAAACATCAGATATAATCATAAAAATATTTCGTGGGAAAAAAATTGGTAATAAACAGAATTTCTTTTTAATTACGTAGAAATACTTTTGATCTGTCATTGAACTAAGATATACATACGTACTCCTAAACGTACATAGACACATAATTTGAATGAAATTGAAATGGACGTGTGTCACGAAGGGCTAATTTACATTTCTTTCTGGAAATAACACCTGGGTACCTGAAAAAAATGTATAATTCGGCCCTTTGAAGTTATTTTTATGACCCCTTCTTTGTTTAAACTGAATATATTTTTCGATAAATATAGTATTTTAAATGAACAAACAATTTAGATTTTTTTTACAGTAGGGTTCACCCTGTACAAAGCGCGAGGGGGAGGGGAAGGTACTCGAGGTAGTGGGTTACGTGAGGAAGAAGTTTGTTCAGATAGCAAGGGAAGATAACTCACTATCCAATTGTAATTGATCTAGCGAAAACAAGCTTATTAACTATTACACCAGTCGAAGTCCTTTTAAGCTGCTTGCATTTCTGAAGTCGTTTCTCTATTATTATTTTTTTCGTCCTATCGGAGGAGAGGGCTATACCGAAGAAATGACTGTAGACTTGAACCTTATCTTATTCTTACAATTCTGCGTGTCCCTTCCTTCCTTTCTTAGTGCATACGCTTACGTCCTGCCAATGAATAATGGATTGTTCCGTTTCAAACGCGTAGAAAGACAGAAAACACATAGAGACGCTGTTTGATTTCAGTGAGATAGATAGATAGATAGATAGATAGATAGATAGATAGATAGATAGAACGAACAGTGTCTGACAAACAGATATGAACAGTGCCTGATAGATATGAACAATCTCAAATAGATAGATAGATAGATAGATAGATAGATAGATAGATAGATAGATAGATAGATAGATAGATAATTCAAACAGGAAAGCCGTGAAATTTTCATTAATGAATGATAATCGGACTAAGTACTGAATATTCAGTAAATTGTTTAGAACTTTTCCCATGTTTTCAAAAGAACGGCATTTGTTTTTACTTAACTCTCTACGGTGACACTTTCCCAGTCCGAACTTGTTTAGATGTTGTGACAGATAACAGCACCATTCATCAAATCCCCTGGCTGTACCTCTCCTTCAGGTGACAGCAGGTGTCATTACCCGATGCCTAAAGCGTCTCCAATAAGTGAAATGTCGTAGAAGCTTGAGCAAATATTTAACTGTTTTTTGGCACTTGTTGTTTAGGTCCCTGTTAAACTATGGGATCTCACACATTCAAACTTGTAAGTTAATAAATTACTGAATTTGATTATCTTATCATGAACTTTGTAACTTAAGTTCAGTGGAGCGTAGTACTAATAGTCAACATTTTTTCACAGTCCATTTATCGTTAAACTTTGGTCTTTGTTTCTAAAGAAGTTTTTCTGTCTCTTAATACTCTGCTTAGCTTTTGGAAAGCAACTTTGTCTATCCCAACGCGTCTTCAGATTTCAGTAACGCACTTTCCGTCCTCTGATAAAACACTTTCAGATATTTAAATTGTTGTACTTGTTTGATTTTGGTATCTTCGATTTGTAATTTACATTTTGAGCTCATCCTTTTGCTAACAAACATGCATTCTGTTTTCTTGTAGTTTATGCTTTCTTCTCGCTTTCCTTCACTGCCTTCTGTAGGAGTATTTGTACCTTTCTTTCAGTGTCTGCTATCAACACGGTGTCATCTGCATATTTTATGTTGTTAATATTGTGGTCGCCAATAATGAATACTGGTAAGACATTTAATCCTCTCAGGATTGCCTCACTGTATAAATCCGGCGAGAAGACACAGCCTTGTCTTACACCCCTTTCTGTTTTTGTATATCTGCTCATTTTTTTATCCGCATGCACACGGTTTGCTGCCAGTATAGATTCTTGATTATTGTAATAGATATATTTATTATTAAATAAGGGAATTATGGGATGTCCGATAGGGATCTTTACATAGTGAGTAACAGAGTAAGAAAATGTAATTGTTAGTAAAATTTGTGGGGAGTCATCGTACTGAAAACATTTTATTGATTTTTTCTCATCAATACGTTATCAGTTTATTGCTAATTGAATTAATCAATATATAATGAATATAGGATTTTTTTTTCTGTTAATTCACCCCAAAATAAAAAGAATTTATATTTACTAAAATTCACACCAAATTGGCCTTTCCATTGCACTCCGGTTGGAATGACCTTTTCGATCGCCCCAAATGTAAGCAACTCGGGTGCGCTACGTCTAAATGTCGGGGTGGGGGGCTACGTTCGTGCGCACTCTGAAAAAGAAGCCAAAAACAATTTTTTTTTCTTTTTTAAATTGTAAAACTTCCTTGGAAATATCTCGAATATCATCCGCACTTACGAAATGTGAATAACTCCCTGATTTTTGGTAATTTTTCGTTCTCAGTATTGTATTTTTAACGTCTTTTGGCGGTGTTGCAGATTGTTGAATGTATTTTGTGTATCAGAAGGTTAGGTTATCAGAAGGCTTAGAAATGTAGGCGTTCACAAGACATTCATCCACAACAAATATAAAAATAAGAACATTGAAAGGTAAAATCATTCAGAAGGAATCAAAAATGAGGACAATGTGATTAAAGATTTAACAAATAACATTCATTTTATATCAATTGAACATACACAATCAAGATAGATATTGCTGATCAAGTTGTAATAATATATGTTGAAGGATTATACCGAGTTTCAATGTATGCAGGCTTGTGGTTAAGATTTGTGTACGAAATTAAACAAAATGTTTTATCGTATTACAAAATGTCTTTTGTGAGAGTTCAGTCACTAGTGTGCATGTGTGCGTTTGTTAAAAGTTACTGTTCAAAGTTTTTAAGAGTTGTGTACCTTTATCTGTTGTCTTGATGTTGGATTGAGATTTACAAATACTGTTTGGTAGTGGGTCAATTCACTTTCTTTAGTATGTTGTTACCAATATTCCTGAGAGAGCGAAGTGCTGTTTGTCGAGTCAGAAGAATTAGCGCGCGAAAAGTGTAGTTAGGTCAAAGTTTTGGCTCGCGTGGATTTGTTTAGCATCTCTCCAAGGTTGAAGTTCTGACTGTTTGAATCGAATTGAAATGCCTCTATTTATTGAGTTTTTGGTCTCAAAATCGGCTCCAAAGCATTGAGCAGGAAAAGGTATTTTTGCTCAAACTTGCTACAGTTTTAAGGTCTCAGCCAATGAAAAACCTAGTTTGCTGAAACTAAGATGCTGATTGGTTAAGAGGTGATTATGCGTGAAAAATGCATTATCCCGGAGGGGTGACAGGTAGGTATGGAATATTCCATCCGTATTTCCGGCAGAAATAGTTTTGTTACATGCTGTGAGTATTTTTATTATTTTTAATTTTATTTATTTTATACAACGTTTTTATGTTATTGTTTTATTTTATTTATAATTTTAATTATTATTATTGTTTTATATTTTATTTTTATTTATTTATTTATTATTATTATTATTATTATTATTATTATTATAATCATCATCATCATCCTACAGACTTTTAGTTCTATATAAAAAAAAAATTAACCTTATCGGCACAATTTCATCATGCCTTCGTCTTCTTCCAGTAAGCGTTCATTAGAATTGGATTTCATCATGACAATTCTTGCAAATAATAGCTACCTGTCAAATTCTTTAACAAAAAGAAAATTGTCCATTTTTCTATAAAAGTTCGGAGCATCTAAATGGCCGACATATCTAAAATTGCCTTGGTTGTTTAATATCAGCTATCGGTTTTCCCAACAGATTGCTTATGGTCAAATCACACTGAAAACACCGGTTTTCGTTCGATCATCGAAGTTAATTACTGTCGATCCCGGTCAGTACTTAGATGGGGGACCATTTGGGAACACTGGATACTGTAAGCAACCCCCTCCTATTTGTCAAATAATCACAACGAAAGTGGTAGTAGTAGTAATTCTGAAATATTGTATTCTCGTACAAACCAGATACAAATAAAAAAATAATACACTTGGCCGCAGGAGGTAATTTATGTCCTCCAGTATCTGTCTGTGGAAGTCCTCCATTATCTAATGGGACCTTCCATTTCTAATCTACACTATTATTCGAAAGGCGTTTCGGCTTTAAATAATGCGTTTTAAACCCTAAAAAGAAACCAGTCAATCCCATCAAATCCTGTAACTCCTTGGTTTCCTGCAATGAATATTCACTTGGTGTTTTACACTAGGAAGACATTTTTTTTCCATTAACAAAGATAGGGTTCCTTTCCTTTCTTGCGGGCCGTTGTATGCGTTGTGAGATAAACACATGTGTCTCCTGAAATGCCCACAACAAACATGGCAGACTCGGAGTATGAGTCCACAAAAAGAAATGTAGTGAAGCTAGAACCGATATATATGTACAAACAAATGAGAATGTATTAACAACAAAAAGGGTTACAGGTGACAAAGACAATAATGCGTGTAACAAATGACCGTGGAAAGTTTTTTTTGGTCATGAAGTGAGTGAATGTGCGTACATACGCGCGCGCGCGCGTGTGTGTGTGTGTGTGTGTGTGTGTGTGCATTGTTCATGCGTTTCGCACAAAGAAAAACGCGATCTTCCGCAAGAGATTTACATTGTTGTCGAATAAGCGGAAAAGTAAGAAGCGTTCTTTACCTCACCTCCCCACGAGGCAAGATGCGGCACAAGGCCATTTTTAATGCGGGGTTAAAACCGAGCCCGTAGACTCGGGCAAAAATTCCCCGAGTCAGAGAACTAATTCAATGGTCTGTTAATGTGGAGATGTAGAAGCCACGAAAGTAGCGGTTCACAGGCGGTTATCTTCGGGTAACGTCCTTAATGCAAATATATACCAATTTATGGCCTTTTAAAAATGGATGCAAAGTTAATTAATACAAAGATATATATTGCATATACGGATAAAATTTTATATCTCTCAAAATAAAATATACAATAATGTTCAAAGTGTTCATAAGATCCTATGAGTAAGTTCTCGTGTTGAAAGTCTGTAAGTCCTTAGCATATATATATACATATATATATATATAATTATTTTTTTAAAATTTGATTCCTTCGCCACATAAGAGTTCTCATGTTTCAAAAACAAGAGCCAAAAACTTCAATATAATTATTACAATTAAATTGAATTAAATATCAAGCTCTGTTTCATCTCCACGCGAAATTTTTGGAAGGTTCCAAAAATTTCGCTTGGAGATGAAATAAAGCATGATACTTTTTATACTAACCCTATTTTTTTTTTAAGACAATAGAATTCATTCCCGAATTATTCTTGATTTTGATTGGCTCAAAGAAATGACTCATTTGACAATCTCCTTTTCTTCACCTGCATTTAGGAATGACAGAGGACGCTAAGTGTGACACTGAGATCTGTAGGCATATTAGGATTGCCAAGGACGCATTCCAAAAGCTGGACAGCGTATTGCGAGACAGGGGGATTTCTTTGGTAACGAAGAAAAGAATACTGAGCTGTTACGTAACATCTGTCCTCTTTTACGGCAGCGAATGTTGGACGATTTCCTCAAAGATGGAGGCTCGAGGCGACGGAGATGTGGTTCTGCAGAAGGATGCTAAGGATATCATGGACCGAGCGTGTGAGCAACCATGAGATCTTAGAAAGGTTGCAAACGAGGAGGAGGTTTATACTTAATATCGGGAAGAGACAGCTGAAGTTTCTGGGACACATAATGAGGAAGGAGGGCTTAGAGAATCTGACACTCACGGGTCGAATAGACAAAAAGAGGGACAAGGGAAAACAACGCATGACATACCTGGCGAACTTAAGCAAGTGGATGACAGAACGTGATCTGGGAGAGAGAAAGAACTTGTTGAGAGCTGCAACGGCTAGAGGGAGGTGCGTAGCCATAATCGCCTACGTCCTGAAAAGACATGACATAAAAAGAAAAGAAAGAACATTTAAGAATGATAACCTTTTGACCTCTTTTATTTATTTCTTTATTTTCCTTATCTTTTTGTTTTTATTTCTTTTGGTTTGCCAATTTTTATTTTTGAAATAGTCATCTTTTTATTTTTCTATCACTACAAACTACCATTTTTTTCTTTTCATAAGAATGTTCATACGTAAATTTTGCTTTTGTACCACCGAGAAATTGTGTAATTTTATCTTGAATCATAGGGCCATTATTTTATATTTTAATTTTGTTTTTAATAAAGAGAACCATGTTATTTTAATATATCTTTCAATATGGATGAAATTATAGATTTTACAGATAAGAAAATAAAAATATTCCCCCAATCAAATTAAACTCGGTTTGAAATATGCAAAAGTATGTTTATTGGAAATATTAAATTTAATCTATTAGCTTGAAATTAAAACTAAAATTAAAGCTTCAAGAAAGATTTTTAATTTTCTAAAATGCATTTTAAACATCGCTATCACATTTTTTTTACTTTTTGGTGTACGTACATCAAAAATTAGATTTAATTTCAAGAGGCCTAACTTAGTTTTAAAAGATTTTTAGAATTTATTTTTTTGTTGACAAACTCCCATCCATCATCCTGCACTCGAAGACTTTAGTGATGTAAAGATAAACAGCTTAAAATCCTAAAATCAAATTTAAAACCAAGGTAAATATATTTTTTCTCTTTTTAGTTTTAAAATTATTTTTTATGTTAGTTTCTTACTTTTAAAAGCAAAATTCAAACGTCAAACAATATATTTGTTTCGCGAATTGTTTTAAAATATCTTTTCAAAAAAATTTATCCTCAAAGATGTTTAAGTAAAAATGCAAACTCATTCTGTTATACGGTATTTTGACGATATATGTGTGGAACAAGGGAAGCAACTCTTTTGAATTTACAAGACATTTTGATGCTTCCAATGCAAAGACAGTATTCAATTAACATTAAACAGTGTATCTTGAGTAAACCAAAAAATTTACACATGATTTTTTATACCAGAGATTAATGGTTGTTAGAACTACTAAGAATGCATGAAAAAATATTTAATCAATAGAAATTGAACTATCACAACAAAATTTGAACTTATAAACTACACAGTAATTTTCAAATGAAATTACCTGTTTCTCAAATGACTTTCAGCTTTTTTCATATGAAATTATATCTTTGATTTTTTTCTTCTTAATTGAAATTCTTCAATTTAATTTACCTTCTTCTCATGTGTAATTACTCCTTTGATCTTTACCTGATTCCTGATTAAAATTACTAAATTGTCTTTAACCTTTTCTCACAAACCTTCCGCACAAGCTCGACCGCTTACTCTGTTGCCTTTTAGGGCCTTGTACATGTTGAGTACCACTGTAAAAAAGAAAATGATTTTTTATTAATAAATATAACCTCTTCCTCAACTTGCTATAATTTGTATAAAATTATATTCAAATTATCTTTGTTAAAATTCAGGATATTTTTTTAAATTCCAAATCACCAAAAAAAATAATCTTTCTCAAGATGCAAGACAAGCAACATTTTTAAATCTTTCTTTTATTTTATTTCACATGGACATAAGGAAAAAAAGACAAAATAATTCTTCTATGTGCTGTATTCTTTGTCGCTCTTAATAAATTTTGTCTTTTTGTTATCTCTCCTAAGCCTTGTTCCACCATTCATTTACTGAGTAGGTTATACGTTGTTTTCTAAGGTCCCTCTTGCCTTCATTCTGTCCTGTGGGTATCAGATTTTCTAAGCCATCTTTCCTCATTATGTGCCCTAGATATTTCATCAATCTTTTCCTGGTGTTAAGTACAAGTTTCCTTTTTGTTTCCCTTTTTTTAAGAAACTTCGTCATTGCTCACATAATCGGTCTATGGAATCCTCAATGTAGAGCGACATTTTTTTGTTGCTTCAAGTCTCTTCATCTGTGAGGAAATTGTCCCGTATGCACTGCCATATAGGAAGACATATTACGTAACAGTTCAGTACTCTTTTCTTTGCTTCTAACGAATTTTTTTCTGTCTCTTAATACTCTGCTTAGCTTTTGGAGTACATCTTTCTCTATCCCAAAGCGCCTTCGGATTTCAGTGTCGCACTTACCCTCCTCTGTTAAAACACTTCAAAGCTAATTTAATTTAAATGAATAAAAAAAACCAAAGGGAAGTAACTCTATAATTCTTTTCTACTGCTTCTCAAATCTGACAGCCATATCGAAATTTTAAAAAGGTATTTATAAATTTATTCAATAATATTTTTATAATAGTGATTAAACAGTTATGGGGGATTAAGTTATGCAGTTTACTTTTATTGTTGTTAAATCTGCGTACTTTTATTATCTGTGAATACAGTAACATTTCAGCAGTGTTGCTTCGACTTTGTCTGCCACATATATGGAGAAGGTTAGGCTGGCTCCGGTCGGGAATGTTTCAAAATAGTAGCTCAAGCTACCCATGGCCATCCTCCAGGCAGTGCCTCAACTTCGGGAGAGAATTAGGATCATTAATCACACCTGAGGCGTCCCCAAAGGGCCAAGTGCTGAGAAAGCATGAGCAATTTTTACATGGTATTGCCGTTTTTTTAAAAACCTACTTTAAAAATTGATCTTGTGTCAAAAATACATAATACATCTTTATCTGAAAATTTGCTGTAAATATAATTTCGTATCGTGTTCAAATCACCATGAGAGTTGGGAGCGTTTAATTGTAACAATGAGTATTAATTTACACAGAGAGAATGACAATTTTTAGTGGGTGTTTTTTTTTGTTTTGTTTTGTTTTTTTCTTTTTTGACTTTTTTTGTTCTTTTTTTTAATCATTTCGTCACTTCGACATGGTGTAATAGTTAACAAGCTTGTCTCACTAGATCAATTACGATTGAATAGTGAGTTCGATCCTTACTGGGTGCCCACGGTACACAGAAATAATGGCACCGGTAAAAATGGCACAAGTGGGAAAATAGGAAAAAATGCTACAAAG